AGGGTCTTCGCAAACAGCTCCTGGGATCACTCTGACACTCAAACCCAACAACCACAGAAAGATGGCACTTTGTGGAGGGAACAACGCTGAGCAAAAGGTCAAGTTGTTGATGTGCTGGTAGATTTACTTTCATCCACGGAAAACAACAGAAGACCTTTCCACCAGTGGGTGTCTGGGCTCGGCCTTAGAGACAGGCTGAGGAGCCTATAGGTCACTTCAAACATGTCTCTTAGCTGGCTTGGGAACACCTTGGTGTCTCTCCAGAAGCTGGAGGAGGTGGCGAGGGCTGCGACCCGAACACGGATAACAGGTAGACAATAGGTTCTGGCATTCACACCTACAGACAATTTAGAATCATCAATTAACCTCAACATGTTTCTGGACTGTGGGAGGAAGCCGGAGAACCCGGAGAAAACCCACACTGCACGGGTAGAACATAGACGCAGAAAGATCCTGGGTGTCCTCACTGAGACGTGAACCGGTGACCTTCTAGCTGTGAGGCGACGGTGCTAACCACTGCACCACCTTGCAGCCCAATGACCAAATCTAAGCCTAAAATAGTTTTTTTTAATCTGAAATCACAACATGTCTCTTTTAAAAAAAACATGCCAAAAAATGAATCTTTGCAATAACAAGATTGTGTAAAAATGAGTAAATAAAAATTGAAATAGTTCTTCTTGATTGAACTACAAACCCATCAGTGACTCTCCCTCCAACAGCCATCTGACAAAAACTCAGAGACCACTCGACTGAACTGCAGCCGGTGTTTGCACACAGCAGCTGGGAGACATTAAAATTAAAAATACAAGCAGTCCAATATCCGTACAGCCACCGTTGTTCCACTGCTGGTACCAGCTGTGGGAACGTGGAACATGTTGACGACAGCTTTTTTTGTCATATTTTGTAAAATGAATAATCAAAGAAATGTGACTTTTGCTTTTCCTTTTTAATGATTCACGACATTCTAACTTTGTTCAACTTCACATGAAGTCACTTTTAAGTTCTCTCCACTTCCAGCCAGGTTCATGCTGTTTCAATAGAAGTGCAGGACTTCATGTTGCAGTGACAAATGAACCCACAGTGAGTAAAAACAGGACAGAAGCAACAAACACCCAGAACCTGCTGGAAGTTCTGAGAGTTAAACCACTAGTCAGCATGTGCGCTTGCTGATTGATTATTGTACTTCAGATATTGCAAAACTGTCAAACTTTAGCTGGCAAACAAGAAAACTGGACACAGTGGAGACAAAAGCCGCCACATGGAATCTGAGGCCTTTGATTTGCACGATTCCATCGTGATCTCATGAGCAGTCATCAATGTGATCAGATAAAACCGGACGCCGAGGTGACGTCAGCAGGAACAGATGCTCGGGAGATGAAAGAAAAAAACAGAACGAACACATTCTGCTTACTCTGCAAAGCAATCTGCCAGCGAGGAATACCGAAGAGCCCGAGTGGGTGACGTCTGTGTGAGGCCTTCTCCTGTCGTCCCTCCTCCAGCGTTTTCCTGCTTCTCCATTTGAAGTTGTTCTTCCTGGAGCCAGCAGTCTACTCGCCTCGGTGTGTGTGTGTGTGTGTGTGTGTGTGTGTGGGTGTGTGTGTGGGTGTGTGTGTGTGTGTGTGTGTGTTTGTTTGTGTGTCTGCATGCGTGTGAGGAAGAAGGGCCGAAGTAAGTCACCGACCCCGAATGATTGAATCTTTGCCCCAGCCAGGACGGGGACAGTTTTCCTGGTGCCTGGTCCACACACACACAACACACACACACACACACACACACACACACACACGCACAAGACACACACACACACACACACACACACACACAGACAGACAACACACACACACACGGATCTTCAGCAACAGTTCACCAACACATACCAGCATCTCTATCTGGCCGCTCAGCCGACACCTCCTCATTCATACACACTGACAGCAAACACACAGCGATCGCACACAGTTGCACAGAATCATTGTTGTAAACACACACACACACACACACACACACACACACAGCTCTGGGCTCTGTCACTGTCAGGGCTGCAGCCTGGCAAACACACAAAATCAAAACACAATAACAGAGAAGAGGATGGAGAAGAGGATTTTTAGTATTTTTGTAAACTCTTCACCTCATATTCTGCCAGATAAGCCTGCAGCCGATAGAAGGAACACCAGAGAATGACAGCTGTGGTTTTTTCTTTTTTGCAAACTTTCCCCTTTTGTCTTGATCTTCATATCACACAGTGAACTCCTATACATTCAGTGCAGCCATAAAAGCATGAATCACCTCCGACTTTCTGCCTTCTCAGGCGAACAGACCCACACCTTGATATTATTAGCCAGCAATTGGTGGCGGCGTTATCAGCCTGCAGTTACACATTGATGACAGTTCCCCATTTCCACTGAGGCAATATTGCTCTGTTTGCCTTGACTTGTGGCAGAGAGGGCGGGCGGAGGGAATCGATACGAAAATACAAAGGTTATGGGTTATAATTCATGTGTCACGTACAGATAGATAAATAGATAGATGGACAGATTTGATTTTTTTCTTGCTAAATATCTTTTGTAACTTATTATGGGTCCACTTGGTGCTGCCTGAATCGAGGCCCTGCTTTTATCAGTTATAGTCAGTCTTATGAGGGATTTTCTGAGTGAAAATGTCAGGAGAAAAGTCTATTTGTTACCAGAGAATATCAAAATATGTAAGAGATCAGGAGAAAGACTTCATCTCATGTCTCCTCTCCAGATCAGTTTATTGTGATTGTTCAACTAACATCACTTCATTCTACGTCTCTCTGAGAAAATAACCAACAATGACCTTTTCTAAAGTTGAGTTTATATAAAAAATGCCCCCAAAATGATGCACTTCTGGATAGGAACTCAGATGCAAACAGCACCCAAGTGACAAATAAAAATAAGGGATCATTTGGCTGAACTGCAGGATGTGTTTCTAGGGCTGGTACTAGACAGGTGGGTCGATAAATTATTAGGATGTGGAGGCAGGATTGGCAACACTTGTGCACACTTTGGGAAAATGTTGTACATGTTGACTCCAGGTTTCTTTATGGTTTATTATTGTGTCTGTATGTTTCATTGCATCACGACTCTCAACTTATGACAATTAGAAGAAGAGCCACTGATGATCATTAATAGCGCTGTGCATTAAATGTGCATGTTATGATGTGCTTTTATATTTTATAAATCAAATATTGATGTTAGGTTAATAATACAAATAATATAATAAATATTCCAGCTCCAACATACAGCACAGCTTTGGATTTAGACTCTCTACATCCCTACAGTGCTCTGAGTGTAATTTATTAGCCAAAAAACAAACTTGATTTTGACTGATAGCTTTCATTTCTTCTCTATTATTTCTTAATTTTCTACTGGATATATGATAATCCTGCAGTGAAAACCCCTTACCATGATCACTGCACGTAACAACAACATTAAACTATTAATTATAGGTTCTCTGCATTAATTTCTGTCCTGACGTTTACAGACGCACGGAGCGGATTTATTATCCTGCGCAGGAGCACATCACTCACGGACAGGCCTGTCAGTGGGAAGTGGCTGCACAATGAAATGGCCTCGTGTGTTTACGTTGACTGGTGTTGATGACAGGTATAAATCTGTCCTCATGAGGACAACAGCCGCCGCCGGACACTTCCGAATAAAGCAGCGCTATTCTTCATGTTGGCAGGAGCAGAAAACAGAAGAAGAAAACAACATCATCAGCAGCAGCAGGCCTGTCATGAAAAATGGATCTCTGAGTCATGTGACCACGAATTAAAACGAATCAGACTCTGCAGCTCGCTCCAGATAGATGTTCTTATTGCAGACAGGCGTGTTTGTTGCGTGTCTGCAGGATAGTGGCTCCTTATCGGATAACTTTCTGGGAATTACCTGCTCCACATGATGATTACGCACGACTGAGCGATAACGACAATTAGCCTTAAAAATGACTCGATTGCTCAAAAGAAGCTGATGTTTTTCGTTCATATGCCTCATTTTAGGGTGCACCACTAATATAAGTACACGCTCAATTTAAGTGGATTTGATTTAATGCAGCAAATATTTATGAAAACACTTTTGCGCAAAATTACGCACGATTATTGCGCATGTTTACGGCTTTAAATACACCAGAAAAATAAATCTACAGTGTGTTTAGGCCCCACGCACATGATAACTACTGAGGTTTTTAAAAATATAATTTAAATATAAACTCAAGTAGCTCCACAAGCATAAAAAAGAGAAACAATTTAGACTCTTCGCAGACAAACGAGCTGATTTCAGATTGAGATCAAGGGTTTAGAATAAAAAGACCTTCTGGGCTCTTTCGGATTTAAATGTCCCATTAATAAAAGCTGCTATTATGTTCAGAAGGGTTTTATAGTGGACGAATATTTTAAGAAATGGTTCAGTACAGAAATAGAAACTGTTCTGCTGTTTCATTTTGGATAATGTGACCAATGAGTCTTTGGACAACATGTTTATACATTCGTTTAATTTAGAAACGAAAAGCAAAAGCTTAGAAAAGATGAGTAAAAGCATGAAAATAAATAAAATTAAATGTATGGAACACCAAACCAGGAGACAATAAAAGTCTCTGTTCAGTGGAGGGAAAATTAAATGAGCATTAAATGATTTTAGGTTAAATTTTGAAGCTTCATTATAATTTTCGTTCTTTTTTTTTCCCATTAGAGAGAGAGAGAGGCAGAGAGGGAGGAGAAGAGAGAGAGATGATAACAGCTGGATCTTGATCACACCGAGTAGTCTCTCACTCCTCCTCCTCTCTCATGTTTCTTCTCTCACGCGTTTATTTTTAATTTTCTCAATGTTGCTGCTTCTCTGCTTCACTTAAACAGATCAGGAAAAAAAAAACCAAAAACAGCTTCTCTGCTTGTTTTTTTGCGCTAATATGCAGTAACTCTGTGCGCAACTCCACGCTGTCATTTTATCCCCTCTGTCGACGCGGATGTGCAGCTCCAGGGAGAGGATATGTACCAGGGCATAATGACCACCAACCACGGACCCCCTTCCTACGAGGCCGGATTCCTGCACAACGCCTCGGCGGGCGCCTCTCCGGTGTACGTGCCCACCACCCGGGTCGTCACCCCCATGATCCCGGCGCTGCCTTACCTCCAGACGCCCGGCGCGTCGCAGCAGAGCAGCCCGGTGTCGAGCCACTCTGCCTGGGCGCAGCCGGGCGCGGACTCGGTGCCCTCCTACAACCACTCCCCGGTGTCTCCGCGCTTCACCTTCTCCACCAGCCCGCCGCTGTCCTCCGGCGTGGCCGCGGCCCGGGAGACGGCGGTGTCCTACAGCAGCCCGCTCAACATCTCCGCCAACGGGAGGGAGCACTACGGCGCGCGGGCCCTCGGCGGTTCCTATCACAGCCCCTACCCGGCCTACATGAGCCCCAACGTGGGTGGAACGTGGCCGGCGTCCCCCTTCGATAGTCCGGTGCTGCACGGGCTCCAAACCGGAGCTCCTCCGGGCACGACGCGGCACCCGAACATAGGTGAGCAGCAGGAGCGTAAAACACACCATTATTATTATTTTTTCCTTTTCTATTTTCACATTTAAATATTTAACGCAAAACTCACAATAAAAATATTCATTTTTAAAATTCAATCAAAGCTGTTTGGTGGTTTGAACTTCTGTAAATCTACAGAAACGCTCAGATTTACGGTCACCACATGGACAAAAACGCACCAATAAGCTCCATAAAAAGAAACCAACATGACACTTATTTATCAGATTAGGTGTTCATATTATAAATGAATAAAATGGAGAGTTTTTGCCTGGTTCTGCTGCAGGACACGGTGGGTTTTAAAATATAAATCTGATTCAGATAATGACGATCAACACTGTTTGTGTGTCTGTGGAGCACAAATGATGTTTTAATTATGACTCAGCAAGTTTAATGCAGCTCTAACTGACACAACATTTATTTAGCCTCATAGAATATATAAAACCTGAAATATGACTTTAAAAATACAGACACGAATCATTCTAATAGTACAACACAGATAGATGTAATGAGGGATTTATATGTTGAACGGATCCATCAGATGTTTTGGACTTTAGGCCTGTTTAGTTTTTAGTTTTTTATTTTTACAAAAAAATCTGACATGCTGAAAAAGCAGATGAACTACAGAGATTAATTAAATTCCTGCTGAAAAATGAATTACCATCAAGCTAAAAATAAATAAATAAATACATTTTAAAAATTGCAAAAATTGCACAGCAACATTTTGAACATTTTTTTTGCAAAACATCTAAAAAACAGCCTCACATGCAATTTAAAATGTACTACTGTTAACATTTTTAATATCCTGTCCCTCATTAAATAATTTAATGTAATTTATGACTGAAATATTTACATAGAATAGAATAGAATAGAATAGAATAGAATAGAATAGAATAGAATAGAATAGTTCTTTACTGTCACTGTGGAAGCAATGCTAAAAAGACAGTGTTGCAGCAGTGACATGTCGTAGCATCCCTTTTTTTGGCAGCAATACACAAGTAAAATAAGATAAGATAAAATAACGTGAAAGGAAAGATAGCTATGTATATAAATATAAAGCACAAAATGTAAACTATTAAAGCAAAGGAGGTATTTACAGAACAACCACAGTATTTAAAGCAGACAGTGTTTACAACAGTATAAGTGGAATGTGCACATTGCAGCTGCTGCCATCTCATTACTTTTATTTTCTGTCTTATAATTAACTGGTATTGAGAATAAACTGCTCAGACTGAACGTATTACATAAAGCCAGATAAGTGCAGTGACATCCAGTGGACTTGTGCTCAGATGTTTTGCATCCCAAGTCAGACTTACAGCCTGCAATCACCACGTTTCCCGTATATTATGAATCCAGGAGACATTATTGGCGTGATAGAAATTAATATTTAACAGAAACGATAACGTGCTTTATTGTGCTTTATTGGTTGTGTTTGACTCTTGGATCAGGTCACGTTTAATTTGATCTGAAGGGACTCTGGTGCTGAACTGAGGGGCTTTTATCCTTTACTGAGGATGTGCAGTCTCTGATTTAACAAAGCATTTCTGTTGCTTGTAACCTGCACAAAGTTGGAGCTCCAGTGTGACCGAAGGCCTTCCTGCCCCTGAGCTGGATGTGAATTTGGCCTCTATAGCTGCAGGCTGTACTCTGGACCATATGGATGACAGAGATTTCACAACGCGTTGGTTTCGCTGAGGCTGTCAGTTTTTCAGTGGCCCTTGTGTAGTCTGCGTTACTAATCAGCGTCCTGTTTGTTTGACCCGTGTTTCTTCCATTATCTACAATTCCTGCTGCAGGCCGATGAAGGGACTCAGTCTTCTCATTCACTTTATTGTAATCTACACCCCGGTTCAGTCTCTTAAATATCAGTCCCTCCTATTATCTGCCAGTTAATGAGTCTAAGTGAGCCGTGTGCTGATTATTTAAGTTTCCATCCCACAGTGTGCCAGATAACAGCATTGATCCGGTCTGACCTCCTCATCTCAGCTCAAAAAAAAACCAAACAAAAAAAAAACGTGTTCACTCACTGCTTTTGTTGACGAACGTTGTCAGCAACGAGCCACATCTCACTGTTTTACAATCACAGCAAATCAAATCACATCTGAGTGTTTGATTAAGCCAGGATTGTGGTGATTTGTTCTGGAGAAGGGAAACACGTTTATCTGTAAAGCAAAGCAGGGAAAGAGAAAATTAAATTCATCATTTAATCATTATTACATGATATATATATATACTGAGTGCTACTCATCAAAAGTGTTTGGAAGAAAGCTAAAGTAGAAATATCTGCAAAAACAGCTCTGACTTTTAAAAAATAAAACATGCAAATTAAGTTTTCAGTTCAATCTTATTTTTCCAGAGAAATACTTTAATTTGTGGGAAATATTCTACACATTTATATTTTGTCCTAATTAATAATCCCTTGCTCAGATTTAATTAAAATGACTGCTCAGAACCCTCCTGGAGAACCTTATCAGTCAAACGTTTCTTGGATAAGGGTCAATATTTCAGTTTCTAAAAACAAAACGTCTCCGTTATCACTCGTCTCTGGAAGTCCTGAAAGTCAAACATGTTTCCCTCCAGGACGAGGAACACCAAACGGTTCTGCCTGTTGGACCAGAGACTACAAAGCCTAACTTATAGAAGCCTAAATTTAAAAAAGGTGAATAAAGTAAACTTTAGAAAGCACTGAATGTAAAATCAATGCTAGAGAATGTCCACTGGAGGATGATATTTTACTTAGATTTTAAATTGTTTCTACTTAAAATGTAAATGAAGAAAAAAATGACTCCTTCTGCATTTTATTTTTTAAAATTATTATTATAAAAGCTATCACAATATTATTTCTGGTGTATAAACTGAACTTTAATCTTGCAGATGAAGATAATAAAACTGTTTTATTGCAGTTTTTTTTATAGCAACTTATTATATTTTATGTGCTGATGTTAATTTTTTGGGTTAAAAAAATTAAGCAAGAAAAAAAAAATTTAATGTAGAAAAAACTAGGATTAAATGGAAGATTTACTTTCTTGAATCTAAGTTTTGAATTATCAATAGAATAGAATAGAAAAATACTTTATTTATCCCAGTCTGGGAAATTACTGTGGTACAGCAGCAAGAGAAAAACACCAATCCCAACAGAAAAAGAGTCAAAGTTAAATACTATTTAAAAATTTAAAAATAAAAATAAGTGAATAAAATAAAATAAATAAAACAACTGTACAAAATGTGCAAATTGAAAAAAAAAAAAACAGTGCAAAGACAGAGGGTAAGTTAGAAATAAGTTAGAAATAAAAACTGTATATAGTAATTAATGTGAGATTTTGGCTTTTTAATCGTGTGTTTTCCATGAGCTCTGATAAAAATTAATCTCGCCTAAAATGTAAAATGTGCCAAAAAAAAAAGAAGGAAAAATGGTTGTAAAGTCAAAGTTCTGACCCTTGTATCCTCATTTCTCTGTGCAGAAGTTCTCACATGTCACATTAAAATGAGCTTTTTATTTCCATGCTCACCTTTGGCCTCCTTCACTGTTTGTGTGGGTGTTTTTTTTTTTTTTGAACTGCACCCTGATAAAGACACACTCTGACATTTGTACAGTTGAACAAAAACAACAACCTGCATTTAGATAGAGGCGGACACTGCGGTGTTTCTGTGCTGTGTTGTCTCGTGGTGCTGCCTTGTGTTGGCTACAGCTGCCGCCCGGCTCAAGGTTAAGCGCTCTGGCCGCCTCTGCTCGGCTCTCAGCCTTGACGAGGCCTCGATGTGCACGAGTGTCGCTCCAGTGGCACCGGGACGAGCAGATGGACTCGCTGGAAGACGAGTCGTTGTGCACAGGGCAAGTGTGTGACCGAAAAACACACCACGGAGGGGCTGAGACGTGGCCTTTACAGTTCATATGCTGCTGCTTTGTGCAGTCTGACCTCTTCAGCCTGCATGAAGGCCCGGCTGTCACCTCCACTCCACAGATTGATGTCTCCCATCCAGAACGGCTAAGTGGTTCTTGGGAGATGCTCTCAGATGAGAGAGAGCGGAGATGGCATTTATCAGATGTCAAAGAAGGAGAAAGAGATGTGACAGACACGGAGCCGGCGTTTGAATATGATGGAGCTCCTTCCCATCTCTATTTCCAGCCGGCGTTTATCTGAAGGGGAGATAAGGAGGGAATCCAGGCTGCTTGTTGCTGTGTGGGCCTGAGTGAAGGCTGCAGCCGGCACCTCCTGCTGGCGTTGGGCTGCACTGCCTGGTCGCTCTATCAGGCTTCTGACAGGCGCAGGAAACTGTTTATTAAATGGGTTGGAAGGAATTCTTGTGGCGCGAGCCCAGATGGAGGTTAATTTCTCAAGAATCTCAAGAATCACTGAATTGTTCCAGCAGAAGTCTGAGTGCTGAGGAGCTCAAAGCTGCAGGACTGTGTGATGAAAGATGAAACTATGAAGCAGCAGCAGGGCCCTCTCCGGGAAGACGTGTTTGTTTTGTTTGGGCTGATCATATTTCACGTTTGTCGCCTCTTATCAGATTTGTTTGACGACTTTGCTGAGGGGCGAGAGTGTGTGAACTGCGGGGCCATGTCGACCCCCCTCTGGAGGCGGGATGGTACCGGCCACTACCTGTGCAACGCCTGCGGACTGTACCACAAGATGAACGGCATCAACAGACCCCTCATCAAACCCCAAAGACGGCTGGTGGGTGACCTCTCAGGGCCTCGTCTCCTCCTTCATCAGCTCCTATTAGCCCTGTTCAGGACGTTCATGTTTCCATATGTAGAAGGTTATTCAGGGTCAATTGGACCTCAAGAAATATCTGTTGGTATTCATTATAGACTTTTATACTATGATAAATACATTTTCTGATAAGTTGACGTATTTGTGGTTCCAGATGCTTTTTAAACTTTAAAACAAATCTTCAGAAATAAAAAAGCAATACCCGTCACCTAAACCAAACGGCCTGAAAGTCCTGAACAGGGTTAGAGACATTGTTTTTGCCTCTTTACTCGATGAAAAACGATTTCTCTTCTTCTCTACCTGCGCTGACGTGTTTGATGTGCTGCAGTCGGCCTCCAGGAGGGTGGGTTTGTCCTGCACCAACTGTCACACCACCACCACCACCCTGTGGCGGCGAAACGCAGAGGGAGAGCCGGTCTGCAACGCCTGTGGCCTCTACATGAAACTCCACGGGGTGAGAGAGACAGAAGGAAGCGTTCTTCTTTAACAGAGACTGTGCATATACACGTACAAACACAGTAGAAGCATAAATACTGGTGATCAGGAGCATCGGCACGCTGTGATAGTTCAACAAGTCGAAAGCCTTCAGATGACACTAGTAGTCACACACATGGAGAGAAATCAGTCACATACAGGTGATTAAAAAGGTGACTTCTCCCAGTTAGTTGGAAAACAGTTCTACAGCTGTATCAGCAACATGCAGCTATATCTAGACAGTGAGAGTGTTTGTCTCCAGCTTTTAAACGTCTCAATTCTTTCTTTGCATTTCGACAGGTTCCTCGACCTCTAGCTATGAAGAAAGAAGGGATCCAGACCCGCAAACGCAAACCCAAGAACCTCAATAAATCCCAAATCGGTGAGCTTTCAAGTTGATGTAAATATGCAGGTATACGTATTACATAAGCATGTGCAGCTGTGAGTCTGATATCCGCGTTTTAAACCCCGAGCAATCATTTGCAGCCCTTCCACCAACCTGAGCAAACACTTTTATCCAGTGTGAACGCATGGGTGTTGGTTTTGTTTTGAAAAAAAGCACGAAAATTACATTTGTTTAAGGCAGAAACTGTAAAATGGAAAAAAATAAACTAAAAATCAGATTCTCATGTTTCTGATGGTTTTTGAGCAAACCGTGTATGACGAGTGGTTCGACCGGGAATATTAACATAAATCAATGTATTCGACATGCCTCATGGAAATATTAGCTAAAAAATAATGTGTTTGTCCTGATCGGATTCTGTAAAATTAAAAAAAAATCAACCAAAAAAAACCCACCATAAATTTAGCATTTTTTAGTGCAACAAAGACGCCACGAGGGGCTCAAGTGCAACCAAAAGTCACGACAATAAGAGTTCTCAGCTGAACTGGAGGTTGTTTATAACAGAGCAGATATGAGACAAGTACTGAAGCTGGGGTACACAGAGGAACAAGTTGTTGGACGATACATTCAGCACGGTGTCATGTGCAGAATAGTGAAAATGCCAAATTTTAGCAGTTGGAAAAATATAAATAGTTAAATGTTTATTGTGGGCTGCAAGGTGGATCGGTGGTTAGCACCGTTGCCTCACAGCTAGAAGGTCACCGGTTCGCGTCCCGGTGAGGACACCCGGGATCTTTCTGCGTGGAGTCTCCATGTTCTCCCCGTGCAGTGTGGGTTCTCTCCGGGTTCTCCAGAGTCCAGAAACATGCTGAGGTTAATTGGTGATTCTAAATTGTCCGTAGGTGTGAATGTGAGTGTGCTTGGTTGTCTGTCTCTAAGTGTAGCCCTGTGATAGACTGGTTACCTGTCCAGGTGAACCTGCCTTCACCCTGAGTCAGCTGGGATAGACTCCGCCCCCCATGACCCTAGTGAGGACTAAGATGTAGAGATGATGGATGGATGGATATACATCTCATCTACTGAGCAAACGAGTGATCAAATGTGTGTGGTGGAGATAATTCCATTTCATTTGCCGGGAAAGACTCAGTTTTCACATGAGCTCAGGATTGACATCATTTAGAGCAAAACGATGAAGAAAAAAGCTGCATCCCTGTCGGTGGACTTGTTGCCTTTCTTAGTAACCATATTGCTGTTTTTCCAACTTATCTGCATCTTTCGTATCTCATTCGTGGGGATGAATCTAATCACTGAGAAGCATCTGCTCACACGCTGTCTGTATACGTGCAGTAACCTCCGTTCTTCTGCAGGGACTCCAGGCAGTGACGGGACTCCAGTTACACCCAGCAGCACTCCTCGAGCCTCCACCACCACCTCCACCACAGAGGAGCCTCGCCAGATAAAGACAGAGCCAGAAAACCACAGCTTGTACACACACCACAGCTCACACACACAGGTGAGACGCCTCAGAGCGCACCAGTGCTTCTGTGATGAGGGAAAATCAGGAAAATTGTCCAATAACACCCCCAAATGTAAAAGTGTACAGGTCAGTTCAAGGTGATCTTCATCCCTCAGTGGCAGTTTGTCCTACAGCCAGCAGGACACCACACTGATAAACAACGACACCACACTACAGCCACACAACAGACAAAAACATACCACCACAAAATGAAATCTAAAGTACAGAGAGATCTGTCAGCTTTGGGACATCACTACTTATGATTCCCTCCCACCTGTTCTGATTCTTCAGGGTAAGAGACCCGAACAAGCAGATAAAAGAGAAAGTTTAAACAGATTTAATAAAAGAAGAATAAAACATTTTCATAACTGGTGTCGCAGTGAACCTTCTAAGTTTACGATAAAAGTACAAGAGGATGATATGTCTATCACCCTCCGAGTGTCACATTTTTACTCGCTGTCGGCTCATTTTATAAAAAGTTCTGCCCCTCCGTGGAAACAGCACAACCACGGCTAGAAGTAGAGAGAACTAGAAAATGTCTTTAGTGAAATCTAACTGCACAGATCATAAAAAATAGAAAAACAAAACCTGAGTTTCTTTGATTGTTTATTTTACAAAGGTAAAAAAAAAAAAAAAAAAAGGAATCAGCCTGTAGCTACAACATTTTCCAAAGTGTGGTACCAATACTGGGGAAAACAAACAAACATGGGGACACAAATGCTTTAGACATTCAACTACTTACATTTTTACAGCCTCTACAAACTCGGGTTTTGTCTCACTACACTAGCTCTAGAGATACCTCGTCATGTGTCCAACATGTTGCCCCTCTGGTTCTGAGCCACGCTTCGTTTATGTAATTGATGGAGTGGGTTTCATTTTCCTCTCAGTCTCTGCTTTTTGTAAACACAACCTGCAGCTCACCTGAAAAGTCTCTGATTTGTTGTTACGTGACTGTTGGTTGCAGTCGAGTCACTATTGGCTTTACGGATGCAACGAGGAGTGTAGAATTATTTATTGTTAACTGATTCTGATCAGTGGGAATCAGATTTTTTAATCATTTTAAAATAATAAATGTAGAATGAAGTGATTTTGATGAAATACCACTATTTTTAGGCCTACGTTTGGTTATTTTACTGATTGAACTGGACGCCACACGCTGTCAGAAACGTGAAAATCCAACAACTCTTTTTGTTTTTATACTTCTGTCTCTAACAGGTGCTGTTATTTTGGTGATTTTATTTTGAAGGAATCAAGCCTCTTAGCCTGCTGGTGGGATTTTGGGCTTGAAGTGTCAGAGAGACGGCAGTTAAATGACTTTTACATGACAAATGCAGGTTTCATAGAATAATTCTGTGTGTGATCTCAAGTTAGAGGAGATAAAAACGCAGAGGCGTTCGTATATAAGTCACAATAAATCAAAAGATTCCTCCACTCATCCTCACCGTCTTCCTCTCCTCTCCAGATTTCAGCCCTACCGGCCTACATGGCAGCTCAGGGAAGCGCCATCCCTCTCAAGATGTCTCCTGGAGGACACAGCGGCTCCTCCGGCTCCAAAGCCGAACCGTGGAACAACCTCATCCTGGCTTAGAAGACCTGCCGCCCAACATCTCAACAACCTACCTATCGACAGCACACCCGTTAAACTCTCCTGAGAACGTTTCTGTAGCAGACGGCTGCTGCTGGTCCAGATGATCCCGCTGTTTCCTACCAGCTGTCTGTCGGTGCAGAGACGTGGGACAGAAATGTGGAAGCTGCTACAGATGAGAAGAAAACCTGCACGGATACTTTGTGCACAATCAGAGCAACCAAGGACTGAGTTAGAGTCCACAATGACTCTTGAAAAAGAACCTTTTCTGCAACCACAAGACAAAGACTGCTCGACACAAAACAATGACAAATACCGGTCATGGTCAGACTTATTTTTATGTCAACATATCGATGGTGCATATTTTGCCAAAGAATTACTGGACATACAAAACATCTAAAAACACTCACACACAGTCGGACAACTTCCTGTTAACAAGTTGCATCACTGATTTGTTAAAGCAAGTGTATTTAAAAAAGGTCAGTTCACGTGTATACGAGAAACAAATATACATCCTCACACTTCCCTTTAGTGGCGTCTACGTGACGGTGCAGATACGCCACCAAAAAGCAAGAAAGTTGGTGCTAGAAGCTTTAAACTAACTCAACAACTGTGTTTCTCTGTGGTGCATTCACTGAAACTGGCACATTGTGGGACGTTTGGCTACTGAGTTTTATCTCAGTTGTAAAAGAGGAAGCAGAAGAAGGGAAGCAGCTTGTATCCTCACAACAAGCAAACTATTTGTGATTTGAATTGATCCTGGATTAGCAGCAGTCGAATAGACCCGTTTCTTGCAGGTAAAGCACAACTTTATTTACAATTCCTCAGTTCCATCAAGGAGCGATTTTACCAAAATGCAACGCAACTGCTTGCAAAATGTGTCTGCAGTGAAAAAAACAACAAAAAAAACGGTTTATCGCCACCAAACAGAATCATCATTTATTTCACCTAAAAGACGTTTCACGGTGCATCCGCCACTTTTCAGTTCCTCAAACATGCAATCAGCCTTCTGGTGTCCTGTTGTTCACTTTGTCCTCGTGACTTAAGTATATCTATATATATATATAAGAAATACATGTCAGTATTGACAGTTCTAATACAACATGATAAACTACCTACGCAGCCAAACTGCTGCGATGTGATTTTGATGGCAGCGCTGCCACACAGCTCCCTCTGCTGACACAAGCGCACACATGCACCCCCGAGACATCTGAATTAATACTTTACGGCCTCACTAGTATTTATTATAAGAAGCTCAACCCTTACGTCACGATCCATCGCATGAGGGTTGTTTGATCGACCGTATGGACGACTGCAGCATCCAAACCGTGCAGTGTGTCTGTGATGCTTTGCTTGTGACCCACGTGGAGGCAGCCAGTGTCGGTGTGGAATACTGCCATGTAATTACTAAAAAAACAAAAAAACAAAAAACAAGCTTATATGTAAAAACTCCACTCCAGTATAATTGTGTACTATACGCCATTTGTGATATATTGTAGGTAAAGACACAAACTAATAAAGACAAAGCATTGACGTAATGCAGATTGTGAAGTGGAAGTGGTGTGACTCGTTCAGTTTTAAAGGTTTCTAATCAAAGATCTGCAAAGCGTTCAGTTCACTTTTGCATCTTCTTCCGGGAACTGCAACCTCCCAATTTGCAGGTATCCCTCTGTGAGCCTCAGAACATCCGTGATGAAGAGCTGCACGGTGCATTGATTGAAGTCTTCAGTCAGCTTCTCCCTGATGAACTCTGCGTATCTGTCCTGCACCATCTCCCTCCAGCACTGCACAAACGTGAGCCTCATTTCATCCCGGAGGGCGTCACCAACCCTGAAAGCGTGTTCAAGTGCAAACGCCCGTCCTCTTTCTAAATACGCCTCCAGACTTTCCGCCTCCCCCGAAAGCAGAACCTCTGCAGCTTCAATCGCGCCGTTCACCTCCTGCGTCAAGGCTTTCTTCTCGTCTTCTGGTTTGCTTTCAAAAATGGCGTGCAAACATTTGAAGGAAGTCTTCCGCGCCGTGCTTATCAAAGGGAAGTTTACCCGTCCAGATTTGAGAAGGTGTTTCGCAACGGCAAACACAGCTTCACACAAAGGAGTGAGATCAGAGCTCTGTTCAGCTGCTTCAACATAGCTCACATAGTCCACAGTCTGGGTGATGCATTCCACCTGTCTGTAGCTAATATCCTTGAACAGGTTTTCTTTGGTTCCCTTGAAGCCCCAACATCTCACGTAGCCAATATGAGTCTTGACTCCGTGCAGACTCCACCACTCCTGAGCCTTGTGAACCAGGTTCAGCATGCAGGGCTCGGTGTTCCTCGTCAAACACGGGCTGTTCATGGTGAAAACGTAAACCTTCCAGTCTTCGGAGACGCCGTGTGACACGAGGAGCTCCTGGGTCTGTTTGATGACGACGTCCTCGCTGTGTTCTCCGTTGTTGTAGTTGGGATAATAGGGTCCGTACATGATGACCTCCTCCCGCTTCTCAAGAACTGCCCACGAATGCTGCTTGTCCTCGGCGCCGCATTCCTCCGTGATGTCGCGACGAAACTCCAGGAATCTTTTGTTCACCGAGTCGCTGAGGCAAAAGTCATCAGGGGCCCGTTTGAGCTTGAGACGCTCCAAAACTCTCTTCACGGAGTGCTGCGTGTCGGCCCAGGAGGACGTCCGATCAGCCAGGCGGTCGGAGCTTTCGTTCAAACAGGTTTCACGTATGCAGGGTTGATCGCAGCTGGTCCTGTGGTGCAAAAACATCTCATTTTAGCGACATTATTTACAGCGTGAGATCTCGTACGACAGCAGAAGAGCATTAACCTGCTAGACTCTTTATTTCTTCAGACAAAGCCGGGCTGTTCCTTCTGCTAAGATAAACGAGACGGTTGCTGGCTTCAGCGACACACTTTCAGAAAGTAAAAGTAGTTAATTACAATTACTTAATTGGTTGGTTTGCGGTTTGTCTCTACTTTCCATTTTTCGGTCTCCACCAACCTGTTTTCTTCCCTCCCTGAGTCTGGCTCTGCTGGAGGCAGTTCTGTTGCTGCCAAGTTGGGTTTCTCTTGGTATTGTAGGGTGTTAAGCTTATTTTGTTTTTAAATAAACCATGTAAATGTGTTTAATATGTTGGCTTCT